GCCTCCCAGCAGTGATGTTCTGTCACCAGGACCACCCTGCCAAGCTGACGGGTCCCTTTCTGCTTTGGGCTTCAGAGCTCTGCCACGTCTCGAGAGTGGTGGGGCGGTGCCGGGCCGCCTTCCCCAGGTGGTGGTACAACGTGTCCGACGGTTCCTGCCAGCAGTTTGTGTACGGAGGCTGCGAGGGCAACGGCAACAACTACCTGACCCGGGAGCAGTGTCTGCGGCAGTGCGCGGGCGTCACAGGTGCACGGCCGGCGGGCGGAGGCTGGGCAAGGGTGCCCTCTGCTCTTCCTTGTTCTCCTGGGCGGGGAGGACGGGGCGGGGCGTTGAGAGGCACAGGGGTGTGCAGGTGGGCCTCACAGTGAGCCTGAGGAGCCAGCCTCCCGCCCTCCTCTCTCCAGGTATGGGCATGGTGACCATGGGGTAGGGGGTGGGGGCTTCCTCACCCTACTTCAGGGTGAGAACGCCCCCCAGATGGAGCAGAGGAGGTGTCCTCTTCCCTCTTCAAGCAGAGTCCTCCAGGCCTCAGACCTGGGGACCTGGACACTGGGGTCATTTTGCCTCCAGGACAAACCCTCGGTCCTGGAGTCAGGTGTCCAGCTAGGCAGGGTGTCCCAAAGCAGCCCCTTCTTCTCTCAGGACAGTTTGAACCGCCAGCCTTGAGGTTAGCCGTCCAGTGGTTTGACCCGTGGGGCCGTCAGGGCTCCTTGGCCAAGTGGCAGGACAGGTTCTGAACATAACACTCTTCTGGGGTCTGTGGGACCCAGGTGGTGCTCCGGGAAGAACCCTGAGGTTGGAAATGCTGGAAACCTCCTGGGGTAGCCCTGGGGATGCGCACAGTGTGAGGAAGGGGGCAGGGGGAGTCGCTGTACTGTTATGGGTACGCGGGGGGGCTTCCAGCGGTTTGAGGGGAAATGCCCACATTTCCCCTCCAGTGTCCACAAGCTTTCTGAAACCCCCTGATATTCCGGCAGAGTTGAGTTTCCACAAACAAAACAAGGAAGTCACAGTGTGGCTGCAGGTCAGGCCATGGGCCGGGTGCTCGGTGGCCTGCAAGCATACGTCCCTCCCTGATTCTCTGGGCTTCCCTCCCCTCGCTCACGGGCAGAACCTCTCTTGGCTCTGAGCTGCACATGCAGAAGGCAGATTAGATTGCTGGGGCTGTGTGCAGAGGGAGAATCGGCCGTGGTGCCAGCTGTGTCCCAGGCACACCCTGCAGCCACTCGGCAAGCCCGAACCCTCGGCCAGGCAGGTCGATTCTAGCTCCCAGCCATCCCCTAGGACAGGGAAGAGCTGCCTCCGGGTTTCCAAGGCTGTGGATCTTCACAGCAACCGTCAGCCTCGCCTTCCTCCCCTGGAGCGGCTGGTGGGTTCTAACGGCTGGCCTTTAGCCATGGCTGGGTATTGTTTTGGGGTCACATAGGCCAGCCCCCACCCATGGTGGCTGAGCCACTAAGACCCTTTGTCCCATGTGAGGGTTGGGGGCAGGGGCGGGAGGGAGGAGGATGAGGCTAGGTGCCTGTGTTCCCAAGCCTGGGCTCCGCTCACCTCGCCCACATGTCCCAGTAGCAGGGTCCCGAGTGGTCAGAACACAGCGGGAGACCGATGGTGAACCCCAAGACACTCAGTGGTTGGGGCTCTGGGGCAGAGAGCAAGCTGGCCTTTTCCCTAGAGGTGGCCCCAGAGTCCAGTGCAGTCTTGAGTCCCAAGGGTGGCCGCTCAGACACCCTTCCATGAGCCTCGGAGGAGAGTCGGGCCACCTGCAGGTGGGCCCATCCCCCGACTGTGGCAGTGCTGGGGTTCTGACTCATGAGAAATAGATTGGCCTGGGAGCCAGAGTGTGGAGGGGCAGCAAGGCCACCCTGCTGAACCCTGCAGCTCTCCCTCTCTGCTCCCCAGACCAGCCGACCTGTCCACCCCCCCCTGGCTTTTCCACACTCGGGCTGGGCTCGTCCAGGTCCACAGTCACTGGCTCTGCCCCCCACCCCACCCCCATCTCGGTCTTCCCTGCGGGCCGGTCCTGGTTCCGGGTTTCTCTGCTCCGCTGAGGGGTGGGGTGGGGGCGCACTGAAGGTCCCACGGAGTGGAGAAGGGAGAGGCACGGGTGAGCTTCTGCCCTCGGGAACACCCCCCACCCCGGTCCGTCTTCTCACTGTGTCCGTCTGCCCTCACAGAGAAGACCCTCAACGTGGCCACCAGCAGGAGCGGAGCCGAGGCCCCTGTCCCCAGTGGTAGGTCCTTCACAAGCCCCGCAGAGGGTGGGGGGGGCGGGGGTTGTTGAAGGGCTCAGCACCCCCTGGTACTGTGGACTCTGAATTCAAACAGAAACAGGGACCCAGCGGGGGCGCCTGCACTGGCTCCAGCATCCTGGGGTTGGGATGTTGGGGGGCTAACAATGTCCAGCAGACGGGAGGGCCTGGACTGACTGCTGCTGTGTCCTTGCAGCCCCCTGTCCTGTTGGGCTGGGCACCAGGACCCTGGGTGGGCGGGTGG